CCGTCAGCACCATTGGTTTTTATTTATATGCTACCTCCTGAAATGGTTGCATGTCAACTATTAATTGATTGATTCAGTGACTGTAGTTTTTTCTAAAGTATGTTTCAAAGTTCCTTTTATTTAAACAATTGTGAAATATTAAAAATAGTACAGGATTGAGTGGTTACTTAACACCTAAGAAATTATAAGGAAAGCCCTATTATTGTGCTATAAAATATAGCGTTCTACAGAGCAAATTTCCAAGAGTGTAGATGCCTACATTTCCAAACAGACTACCATCCCAACTCCATTTGAGTCAAAGAAGTAAAATTTAAAAGGCGCGGAGGGGGAGTAGATGAGGGCACATGCAGGGGAAAGGAGTATGGATGCCTTTTATGTTAGCATCTCCAAAGTGCATTGTGGAAGTAAAAAGTCTCTACATTAAAAAGTTAATATACAGAACAAAAAATCTTACCATAGTGAATGATGGGGGCAGTGCGGAGTGGAGATTCAAAGCCCATTAGTAGGCCACTGGAGATCCCCTTGCAGAGGGGTCTAGGGGAGGAGATGAGCCAGTCACGGTGCGATGTAACAATGATGAGAAATACAACCTTCCTCTAGTTCCTAAAGGTTTCCTCCCCGCTCCCACTACCATGACTCGAATTCTATCTTGCAAGACTGGCTAGACCAGAGGAGGTACACTGGTACAGATAGGAACTGAAAATACAGGGAATCCAGGACGGATGAGCCCTATAGGACCAGTGGTGTGAGTGGCAAAACAGGGAGGGTAAAGGGAGAATGGGTAGGGAGGAGGGAACCGATTACATGGAACTGTGTGTGACTTCCTCCCTGGGGGACAGACAACCAAAAAGTGGATGAAGGGAGACGTCAGACAGGGCAAGATATGACAAAATACCCATTTATAAACTATCAAGGGCTCATGCAGGAGGGGGGAGCGGGGAAGGAGGGGAAAAATGAGGACCTAATGTCGGGGGTTTAAATGGAGAGAAAATGTTTTGAGAAACGATGTACAAATGCGCTTTACACAATTGATGTGTGTATGGACTGGGATAACAGTTGTATGAGCCCCTAATAAAATGTTAAAAACAAAACAAAACAAAAAAGTTCATATAAATTATATGAATTACAATTTCCATAAAAGCCAGAACGAAAGGTTCTTCATAGGATAAAAGATATGCCTAAGCAACATATCATATTTGTCATGGATGTTAGTAACAAATGAAAAAAGCTTAAGTCTATGGCAGACTGAGTAAAATTTGGTATTCTGTAATCCCGAGATTGTAAAAGACTCTTACTACAAAAAAAACTGTAATGACTGGATACAGAGTTTTTTTTGTAGGGACTCTTGTGCTTCTGGTTGGTACATCATCTTCTTAATATGTCCAATTAATAACAGACATTTGTGAGAGGTTGTGCAAAACTACTCTATTTACAAAAATGGCACACAGGTGAATTCAACAACTGACACACATGCACACTTCATATACGTCATCAACAACAAAAGGCATGCTAACACTACTGAACTGAAAAAGAACATTCGTCTCAACAGCAGCTATTATGCACTAGTCAAATAAGTTATATAAGAATGGGCAAATATTGCCCAAGGAAATTTCCATTGTTAAAGCTGAAACAGGTTGAAAACTGTTTAAGTTCAAGCAAAGAGGCAGAAATATTTCAGAGACCATGCTATTTGTTTGTGTTTGAAAAATGTGACCTTTCTCTCAACTGTGGTCTTCAACTTCTGTTTTACACATCCAAAAGGAAAATACAGAATAAATCAATACAATAGAGGTAATTTTAAATTAGAGGAATATAGTTAAGATAAAGGAAAGAAGGAAGGTTAAAACATTAACATTGTAAAACTTGCTTGTTACTTGTTAGAACCAGTCCTATACTAGGAGATGCTATACACAAATATTTTTAAGTAGATTGCTTTATGCTATTCTAACATGTCCTTGCCATCAGTGAAGTTAAACTAATACAAAATTCTATATATTCCCTTACAATAGCAGCACACACACACACACACACACACACACACACACACACACACACCCCTGTCTGTCTCAAATGACATGGTGAACTGAAAGGATATAAAATGCAGAGAAATACCATATTAGGAAGAAATAATGGGAAGATCAATGCAATTCAGCTCTTTAAACAGCCAGCCAGCTTGCTAGCAACAAGGACAGCCTCTGCTGAGAAAGGGTCTGTGGAGTGGGTATGTGCCCATCAGGGACCCCCGGCTTATCTGGGGCAGCACTAGGAAGCTGTTTGTTCTTCATTTTTGCTTTACCCATGTTGTAATTCCCAGAATCAAAATGTGTTTGCCCTTTCCACAATTGTTTTCTTTAAAAATCTGAACGTCCAGGCTTTTGTCCCAGATGAGGATGCCTTGCTTTTAATTTTGCTTCTTCAGCTTTCTCCAGACTCGTTGCTTTTGTTTCCTTCTGCTCCTCCATCCCCAAGGCTACCCCCGGGGTTTCTGAGGACATAATCCTCCCTTTAGTGTGAGGGGAAAGTCCAGCCCCCCACATCTAATCGTGGGTTCCATAGGTGCAATTGTATGGTTGAGATATATATAAAGATTATAGTAAAGTCATAGAGAGCCTGAGAGATAGAAGAGAGAGTAAAATAAAGAAGTCAGACACATTTCATAGTAGCATGCTCACTTCCTGGGATGCCATGATCTCAACAGCCAGGTCCACACACAGCACGGGCCAAGAGAGCAGGGGAGTGCAGGAGAGAGACGTTTATTACTAACCAAGGATTATCTATCTCTTGGGGTGGTGGTGGGGCAAGCCCACTAATTGCAGGTAAAGACATACGTCACAGGAAGAGGTGGCACTATAGGTTATACAGCAATGAGAGGGGGGTGATCTAGGTGTATCCACACAATAGGACAGGGAGATATTGGGGGTAAACATGTGACAAGATGGGTAGATCCCAGATTCAGGATGGCAGCCTAACTTTGAATGTCACTGAGCAGGTTTGACCTGTTCTCTGGCTCTCTATGGAAACCATTATCAGTAGGGTGTAAACCCCACTTACAGGGACCAGACTGATGGCTGTAAGCCATTAAGGGAGAAGTAGCCCATTGTCCTTAACAGCAGGGAGTGGGCCCCTCTTGTGGTGGGACCAGACAGTAGTCTGGCAACTGACTGCCTTCAGGGAGGATGTCTAAGCATCTGACCTCCCACCATCTGCTGGCAAACAGCCTCTAATGTTTGGCATGTCTTTGGGGGAGACAAAGCTGGGGAAAAGTCTCTTTATAATCCCACATCTTTAGCATAATGCTGCACTGGCTGCACCTGAACTCTTTCCATCTCCTTTTGATGCTTCCTGCCTCATTCAATATTTTGCCCATAGAAGCTTTCACTCTTTCAACTGAAGGCTTGAATTTTTTCTTCTTCAGTTCTTTAAGATACTCTGAGTGTGTTCTTCCTTTTTATAGTGTTTTACTTTGTCTTCTCCGACTACCCCTCGAAACTTTCTATTCAGCTCTATGACGTCACTATTTCTTCCATTTGCTTCAGCTACCCTATAGTCAGCAAATTTCAGTGTCTCCTGACATCCACTTTGATCTATCCTTTCTTTCCTGTATTTTTAGTGACTTTTGACTTTCTTAATGATGTCCTCCCACAGCCCATCAGGTCATTAGAATCCAGTGCATCAAACCCATCTTGAAAAGGTCCCCAAATTCAGATGCGATAGGCTCCAGGGCATATTTTGACTCTCATGGATTAGTTTTAATTGTCTTCATCTTTAACTTGAATTTACATATGAGCAATTGATGATCTGATCTACAGTCAGCCCCTGGTCTGTTTTTAGCTGCTGATATTGAGCTTCTTTGTTTTCTCTTTCCACAGATGTAGTCAATTTGGCTTCTGGGGATTCCATCTGGAGAAGGCCATTTGGACAGTCTCCTTTTGTGTTGTTGAAGAAATGTATTTGCTCTGCACTTGCAAAATTCTATCATGTGATCTCCAGCTTTGTTTCTATCACCAAGTCCATATTGTCCAACCATTGTTCTTTTACCTTTGTTTCCAACCTTTGAATTCCATTGGCCAGTAACTATAACTACATCTTGATTGCATGCTTGAACGATTTCATGCTGAAGACCTTGGTAGAATTCTTCAATTTCTTCGTCGCTAGCTTTAGTGGTTGGTGTATAATTTGAATAATAGTAGTGTTGATTGGATTTCCTTGAAGGTGTCCTATCACACACATCATTGTACTTCAAGATTGATTCAGAAATATCATTTTTTGACAATGAATGCAACGTCATTCCTCTTAATTGTGTTATTCCAGGCATAATAAATCATATGCTTTTCTCATTCAAAGTGGTCAGTGGACATCTATCTTTAAGCATCCCATTTCATTTTTGACGATTTCGAGTTTCCTTAGATTTGTACTTCACATGTGGCAGCTTCTGATCATGAGCACGTTTGTGCAGCTGTTTCTCCTTGCCTTGAGTCCTGCCCCCTCAGCAAACAGAGATCTAGAAGGCTCCACACGCACAGGCTTTACCCGACTCACAGCACCATGGTCAACTCCATTCTGAGAAAGCAGCTCCTCCTCGTTCACATTTCGAGGCCCCTCCCACCTAAGGGGCCGTCCTCTGGCACGAGCTCCAGCAGTGTGGTGCTTCCATTTGTTTTGTTAGGCGCTCGGTATCTGAGTTTTTAGCGGATACTTCCTCCAAAGTAGGGAGCCGATTTCTTCTTCATTGTCTGTTCTTAGTCTGGTAGCTCTGCTGAAACCTGGTCACTTTGGGTGACCCTGCTGGCATTTGAAACACCAATGACAGAGCTTCCAACATCACAGCAGTGTACAAGCCACCACAGTGCGACAAACTGAGGTTGTCAGAAAAATAATTATTTAGGTCTTGATTTTCGTGTCTTTAATAACAGTTGCAAGAATAAAATAATATTAGGAAATAATTTTGCATTACTAGTAGTCTAAAATAAAACCTTTTTCTTTCTTTCCCCCCACCCCAGGGGTTTTTTGTACCAAAAGAACGCTTACCACCGTCTGTCATCCCAAGCTATATAGAAAAAGTTATGCCGTCCCAGGTGAGTCCCGAGTTATGTCAGCCCACTCCAAGTATATTTTATTACTGTGTTTCTTCAATACTTTTCATAATCAAATAGTTGCTCGGAGATTCTGCTCAGATACTAACCAAAAGGCTGGAGGTTTCATTGCATCCAGAGGTGTCTTGGGAAAAGGCTTGGGGGTCTACTTCTGAAAAAAACAGCCATCAGAAACCCCCTGTGAAGTGCACGTGTGCACTCTGGAACACTTGGGATCAGCATGGGCTGACATGGACTTGAGAGGAACAGATGTTTAAACCTGGTGTCCTGGCAGAAAGAACTGGCTGTCTTTTAAAAAAATACCTATTCTCAGGTCCCAATGTTGGCCTTCTAAATCATACATCTGGAGCTAGATCTGGGAATCTGTATTTCTCAAAACACCTAGGGGATTCTTATGTTATCGCATTGGTACCAACTAGCATTTGAAAGCCAGTTGTATTCATTAAAATGAATGTTGAGCTGTGCTAAATTGGGATACATTAAACTGAGTATTAACTGGTTATTTTATATTTTTCCCTCCCTCCAAAATTAGATAATGTAGACATAGTTTGAAAAGATTTCATGTTTAAGGTTGTGTCAGTAATAGTATAACCTGGTCTCAGAGCTACAAAGCTGCCGATTTATGTGATACTGAAAATTCACTGTAAAACAGTGTGTTTGGTGCTTTGTTTTGCTTTTGGTCCAACTCTCTTTTAACCATTTCTCCCATAGTGGTTCATCAAAAAGCAAGATCATCCTGTGACATGTTAAGTACAAGGAGAAGCTTATCATTGTTAAACTTTCAGACTTAAAGGCAAATGAGTCAGTTTTTAGATAATATTTATCATACTTTTAATGGAACATATGCTACTTGCTTTTACATCTTTTAAAAAGCAATTCTACATTGCTACTAAAATGGTAAATATTTATAAGGATGGAACTTAGATCTTGAAGTTAACCACCCCTTTAGCTAATACTTGATATTGAGCAGATAACACACACACACACACACACACACACAAATACACAAGTATTTATGAATGATTTTTTTTAAGTATTTCAGGTAGCCAAAAGCACATCAACAGCAAAAAAGTATTAAAATTAGAAGTTTTAGAAAATTCTGCATTGGAATTTTCATTTTTATTCCAATTTCAGAAATTTTCCAATTAAAATTTATTTTCTCCTTCTCATAGATGGTAGCAAGATGAATAAATACAATTGACAAAACACTTAAAGAAAATTAACTTGTTAACTTATTATCCATTTAAAACCGATGCTATAGAATGTCTTGTCTTTTTTTTTTTTTAATATTACAGCTCCAGAAAGTCCACATCAAGGACGGTTTTGATCCCTTTTTAAGAAATATAAACAACAAAGTTTCAGGCAGAAAAAGGAAAGACCACGATATGCCCAAGTGCAGAAGCAGTGTATCTTCAGAGATTGTAGAGCACGAAGACCAAGACCCACCTTACCCAGCACATTCGAAAACTGAAGAACCTACGAGCAAAGCCAAGGCCCATGAGCCTGATATCATCACAATACAGCCTTTAGACACCAGTTCAAAAGGAAGGCTACCAAATATCTCTGTATTGAGTTTTGAAAGAAAATCATCAACGTCATCAAGTCCTCTCTCAAAGTCATCTAGTTCCACAAAATCACTGGCACCTAAGCTAATTTTAAGTAAAAACCTGATAGACCTTGTAGATGAATTCTTTTACAACCCAATCATTCCTCTGAACCTTGAAGCAAGCAAGAGAAGCAGTGGATCTCTGAATCGGCGTGTTCAGGTTAAACCATCCAGTAATTTGAAAGATGTTCCTCTGGACCTTGAAGCAAACAAGGAAAGCAGTGGATCTCTGAATCAGTGTGTTCAGGACAAACCATCGAGTAGTTTGGAAGATGTTCCTCTGGACCTTGAAGCAAGCAAGAAAAGCAGTGGATCTCTGAATCAGCGTGTTCAGGATAAACCATCGAGTAGTTTGGAAGATCTTCCTCTGGACCTTGAAGCAAGCAAGAGAAGCAGTGGATCTCTGAATCAGTGTGTTCAGGACAAACCATCGAGTAGTTTGGAAGATCTTCCTCTGGACCTTGAAGCAAACAAG